GATACTTCGCTACATACTCATCCGCATGCTCTATTTCTTTGCAGAGGGCTTCTTCGGATTCTTCGGCTTCGATCATCAAGTTCCGTAATTTCAGGCTCAACTCATTGAGTTCGCTTGTTTTGTCTCGCACCAGCGCGTACGTACGCGACTTGTAACAAGGTTATGTCCAGCGGTTGTCTCGTCTCTTCCGCTTGAAAGGCAGTGTATGCCTTCGTAAACGCAATGCGCGTTACTTTCTGTGCGAGCTTCACTCTGTCCGTGACTTCTTCTGTAAATCTCTACTTACTGTATAATGGCCAACAACGAGCAGTCTCAGTCCTGTCACGGTCGCCAGATTGTTGTTGCACCAAATTAATGGGTCACGGGAAGAAGAATGATACACTCAAAGACTGTTCGGCGAATAGGCACGCCCTTTATTCGACAACGCAATTCACTGGACTCTCACTACAAATCATAACCTCGCCAATCTCGCTTCGTTCGCGCATCGCTGCACACAACACGGCAGCAGCGAACCGAAAAAAAACCCCAAAAAAACGTACCAACGGCCGAACGCGTGAGCGGAAAAACGCTTCCGTGATGCCTTGCGCGCGGGTTACGCGTATCCTTTTGGGCGCGAACCGCGCATTCTACAACAGAAAAACAGCGAGAGAAAAAAATTGTTTACTTCTTTCTTATAAATTATGAGAATTTGTTCAAAATGTTTTAATATCTTTTTTTTGTTATATTAGCAACTATTTTTACCAATATAAAAAAAGGTATAAAAAAATTCTGAATAAATTCTCATAATTTATAAGGAAATAAAAAATTTTTTTCTCTCGCTGTTTATCTGTAAAGTTGATAGTATTTCAGTAAAAAAATTATTAAAAACCAATATTCAGCAATTTTTTGAAATTAATATCTTGTTAATTATTGCAAAATTATAAAATGATAAAGGACTTTTCGACTTAATTTAGTCCGATCTATCTATCTATATAAAAGCGCTTGGTAAAAAAATTTCGGGGCAACCTATACGCACGCACGCACGCACGCACGCACGCACGCACGCACGCACGCACGCACGCACGCACGCACGCACGCACGCACATATGGGGTATTCTCCATGAAGCGGACTTCCCTCCCCTGCCCAGAACAGTTTAAAAAAAAATAAGGTCTGCGACGGCTCAAATTACAACTTGTAACAACTATTGTACATTCAAAAGCCGTCTTGCTTTTTTTCTGAATTCAAAATGGCGTATCCAAGATGGCGGCCGATTTCACAATAGTCTTAGAAAATTTAATTAATTCGCCAACCACCTATTCATTAATGCCTTACGGTGAAAAATAACCCGATCTGAGGTTATCACGTTTGAATAGAGTAATCACCAGGTAAACGTAGATTTGATTTCCCTTTTCAAGATCAAATTACCCTGCACCAATCTTATGGGAAAATGTCTTTCTGCGGATTTGGCTAATTTTTGGATATGTTGTAGTTCTCTTCATTCTGAACCGTTTTTATTTTAAAACTGTTTTAAATAATGTCTTAAGCTAATACAGTCCTCGGATTGACTTATGACAGTTATGACATCTTAAGACTGCCTCAAGTACAATCTTATAAATATATAAGATTGCCCTATGTTTCGCGTTTCACAGTTGGTAGCCCTTGCACCTTATGAACAGTCCATAGACGGAGAGGGCAGAGGTTTAGAAAGAGACACTGCACACACCATATAATCCTTCCACCATAAGAGATATATTAGTGCGTCAATTAAAATGATACATCCTGTATATACATATATATGTTTTCATTATTTTAACATATATATATATTCGAAGTCTGATAAAAAAATAAGCGAACTTTTTGAATTACTTGGCAACGGAGTGTCCTAGCAACGTGTGGTTTGTAGCACTACAATCGTTATAATCTTCCGAGTAACTGGCTTTTTTAAAATTGTTTACATCTCGTTTAGTTTCAGAGTTATTGCTAATTGAGTGCAATGTGTTTTAGTATTCGTGATTTTCGCTTCTGAATTTTTATTTTGGGAACAAGAAAAAGTCGCAGAGATGAAGGTCTGGGGAGGCTGGAGGAGGACAGTCATCTGACAGTCTTTCGCACAAAACTTGCGAATTGACAAGGGCTGAGTGGGCAGGCGCATTGTCATGTAAAGGAACCATAAATTGTTTCGCCACAACTGTGGTTTCTTGTTTAACCTTGAGGCAAAAATTGCAAAAATTCATTGCAAAGTGAAAATCGCCACGAACACTAAAACACATTGCACTCAAATAGTAATAACTCTGAAACTAAACGAGATGTAAACAATTTTTAAAAAGTCAGTTACTCGGAAGATTATAACAAATGCTGCAAACCGCACGTCGCTAGGATGCTTCGTTGCCGAGTAATTCAAAAAGTTCGCTTATTTTTTTATCAGACCTCGTGTGTGTGTGTGTGTGTGTGTGTGTGTGTGTGTGTGTGTGTGTGTGTGTGTGTGTGTGTGT